TAAATGTTTGACCACCGGGTGCCTGGCTGGCTCAGTTGGTAGAGTGTGCAACTCTTGATCTTGGGGTTGTGAGTTTCAGCCCTGTGCTGGGTGTAGAGATGACTTAAGAAAAATAATCTTAAAAACAAATATTGGATCACACCTGGGTATGATTTTTTGGGCAAGAACCCACTGTAGGCGGTGGTGTGTAGTTCAGTTAGCAAGTACATAGTGTCTGATGGCTTCTCTTGTCATGCTACGAGCCACCGACAACTTGGATCCGCTAACTCACTGGGACTTCCAAAACAGTGGTACTCTAATCCTCTCCTTCCTTTTTCAGTAATTGGAATGCTCTTATAAGGAGGCTCTTCCCTCCTCACAAACTATTTGGTCGCTCTGAGAATAGGAAAGGTAGAAAGAATTGTTTCTTTGCCTTTATTTACCAGTCTTCGAAATAGTGTGCTGGGATCTTAGTATTCTCTAAAGGTGACTAATCACTGAGGTGTTTTGTTTTGTTCTTTAAAGTATCATTATGGACATTTGGATGTCTATATATTTGATGAGATTCAATCCACGGGGTTACTTCACTGATCCTCAGATTACCCCACCTTTGGCCAATAAGAACCAATCTTAGGTGGCTCCTGATATTACACTATTAGTTCTCTGTAGTTTCCTTGCTTTTGTAGGACAGTATGTCCCAGGCTCATGCAGTATATTTCATGTTCCAGACCTGAGATTTTTTTTTTTTTTTTTTTTTAAGGTGCCTTGGTTCTTTTTAGTGTGGTATGGAATTTGAAGACCATAATCTGGGCACTAGGGCTATTCAATGTTAATGGGCTGGTCACATTAGAATATATGTATTTATTTTTAGTTCTGGAGGCTGGGAAGGCCAAGATCAAGGTGCTGGCAGGCTGGCAGATTTAGTTCTGGGGAGGGCCTTCTTTCTTTTTTAGATTTTATTTTTAAGTAATCTCTACACCCACCATGGGACTCAAACTTACAACCCTGAAATCAAGAGTCACACGCTCTACCAAAAACTGAGCCAGCCAGGCGCCCCATTGTATTTATTTTTAAATTAAAAAAAAAAAAAAAAACATTTATTTTTGAGACAGAGACAGAGACAGAGCATGAGTGGGGGAGGGGCAGAGGGAGGGAGACACAGAATCCCAACAAAGCAGGCTCCAGGCTCTGAGCTGTCATCACAGAGCCCGACGTGGGGCTCGAACCTACAAACCATGAGATCATGACCTGAGCCGAAGTTGGACGCTTCATCAGCTGAGCTACCCAGGCACCCCTATTTATTTTTAAAGATAAATTATATCATAAATGCATACTTTCACTTCAGTTCACAAACAAGACTATAGGATTTTTTAAAAATGTTTATTTATTTATTTTGGGAGAGAGATTGAGCAGTGGAGGGGCAGGGAGAGAGGGAGACAGAAATCCCAAGCAGGCTTCGCATTGTCAGTGCAGAGCCCAACATTGGGCTTAAATCCACAAACCGTGAAATTGTGACCCAAGCCGAAATCAGGAGTCAGATGCTTAACCAACTGAGCCCCCCAGGTGGTCCCCCAGGACTACAGGATTTTTATTGACCTCATCTTACTTCCGTATTTTCTTTCTTCCATCCCCAAATCCTAGTTCTCAATGACACCAACATAATTCATCATGTGTTTCATCCCATAGGATAAACACAGCAGCTTCAAAATAACCATGCCCACACTATAATCAAGAACGTATTTCACTAGGCACATGCGGTGAAATTAACATGTTTTAAGTCTCTTGGAATGGTGTCTCTGACAATTTTGCTGCCACTGGAATTTACAGTGGGTTGTTTTCATTTGATTTTTGGTTTTTAGGGAATGCTTTTCCATTTTTCCTTTTGCATTTCATTCTGCTTCATAATTATGCAAACCATTTGGTGATTCCACAATTTGATATGGTTCTAAAATCAAATCTACCAAAAAGATATTCAAGGAGAGGCACCTGGGTGGCTCAGTCAGTTAAGCATCTGACTTTGGCTCAGTTCATGATTTCACGGTTTGTGAGTTCAAGCCCTGCATTGGGCTCTGTGCTGAAAGGGCAGAGCCCACATTGGATCCTCTGTCTCCCTCTCTCTCTGCCCTTCCTTTGCTCTCTCTCTCTCTCAAAAATAAATGTTAAAAAAAAAAAAGATATCCAAGGAAATCTAGGTTCTACAATCACCCCTTCTGATCTGTTATCTCCCTACTTCCGTTGTTACCCCACTATTCCTTTTCTTTTAAAAACATAAATAAAAATGTGGATATATTTGTATTCCTTCTGTTTTTTAATTTAACTTTATTTTTTACTTTTTAAAATTTACATCCAAATTAGTATATAGTGAAGCAATGATTTCAGTAGATTCCTTAATGCCCCTTACCCATTTAGCCCATCCCCCCTCCCACAACCCCTCCAGCAACCCTGTTTGTTCTCCATATTTTGTTTTGTCCCCTTCCGTGTTTCTATATTGTTTCCCTTCCCTTATGTTCATCTGTTTTGTCTCTTAAAGTCCTCATATGAGTGAAGTCATATGTTTTTTAAATTTTTTAAATGTTTCTTTAATTTTGAGAGAGAGCACAAGCAGGGGAGGGGCAGAGAGAGGGGCAGAGAGAGGGAGACACAGAATCCAAAGCAGGCTCCAGGCTCTGAGCTATCAGCATAGAGCCCAACACGGGGCTCGAACTCAGGAACTGCAAGATCATGACCTGAGCCAGATGCTTAACTGACTGAGCCACCCAGGTGCTCCTTTATTCCTCCTGTTTTTAAATTCCTCCTGTTTCCTCTGTCTTCCTTTTTTCACTTATCCATATATCCTAGAGATTACCATATTATAATGTAAAGAGTCCCCATTCCTTTCTACAGATGCACAGAAATGTATAGAGGTATATTTACTTTTTTTTTTGTAAATAAATTTGGATCTTACTGCATATAGAATTTTGCATCTTCTTTTTCATTAAGTATTTCATTAAGTATTAAAATAGCATTTCCCCTTTCAAAATTGTTTTTTAATGATTGCATAGTGTTTATATGCATATCATTGCATATGAAAGCACAAAATTTATTTTAAAATTCTTTGAAAGTGTCTCCATATATGTGGGTGTGTTTGCCTTGACCAGTGGTTCTTGAAGACTCTTCTGTTAGATTTCTAAGCTAGTTGCTATGGCCACACCCATTTTCTGGCATACTTTTCCCTCTGAAGTTACCTGAGACTCTAGGGAAGAAGGAAACAGAACTCTCTTCCTGCTTTGCAAAAGGAAAATTTACATCCAGCTTTCTCTTCTCCCCCCCCCC